TTCTTCATACAGGCGGATTTTACTGGGATTATGAAGGTTGTGAAGGAAGTTTTTTTTCTTCCTTCTCCGAGAAAGTCTCATGCTCATTCTCTTCGCTCTTCATCTTGGTGGGGTGAGGGGAGGGAGAAAATTCTGCCACTACGTTAGTTTCCTCAGTTTTCTCACCACGGCGAAACTTGTAAACTCTTGAAACCCGCGAAATGGAACAGCTCCGCTGAGCAGCCTTGATTAGACCTGTGAACTCTTGTAAACTTCTAAAGCAATACAAGCTTCATTATGAATAAGCTTTACAGTCTACAATCCTTACAGGAGTTAACAGGTCTTCACATGGTGGTCTGTTCAAGCTCAGCGCCATTTCATGGCTTCACAAGGGCTTCCAGGTTCATACAAGGATGGGAACCAGTAAGATGCCCCCTCCTGGTCCCTCCCACGCCCCCCCCCTTTAAGTCGGTCAGCGCTTCATTCCCATGTGCCTTACGGTGGTAGTTGACGCGACAGTACATTACATCATTTTAATGTTCAGATATATATGTGGCCTGGTGCCAGGAAAATTTTTGGAAATGGTCATTTTTGATACACATTTATTTGCAATTTCAATCTACCTAGGCCTGTTTGATCTATCCAATTTTCTCAATTTTACTTTTTGTCGATGGCACAGGGCTTCAGCGCTATACTCTGGGTTGAAGGAGCTCAGCGCTGTGAATCTCTCACTTATCGGCCGCTCATGAAATTGCTTACTACTTTTTGAATATTAAAAAACCCTGAAAATATCTCGTTCAAAATGATCATGGACCATTTATGCAGTTCAGCGGAGCGCTTGACTTCTGTCCTTCACGACTTAGCCAAAGAGTGCTGAAATAACGCCCCAGAACAATTAATCTCTTTTGTATGACACAGTCGTTTTATTTCAGGCCACATGACGTGCCACGAAGCGAGCACCTGGCCAAGGAATACGATAGGTAAGCTCTCACACCTTCGGTCCTTGCCTTGTTCATCTTTGTTCTCCTAACCATCTTCCTTTCCTAATCATCTTCCTTCTATCTTCCTCCTCATCGTTCTTTCCCTTGAGCGTCGTGCCTCACGACTCTCAACACATCAGGCATCCACTCATCAGTTAGCCGCATATCACTCGTCGCGGCAGACGTATTCCGTCCGTGCCAGCATCCTCGCGCGCGCGAACGCATCGTCGGCTTTTCTTTTTACTCATGGCGTTCATTTGGATAGAGGCGCCTTGGCTCTAACTAACAATCGAAATGCGGGAAAATTAGGCGAGGCTTGGCTTCAAGTCTCAAAGGCCCCATATGATGAATCGGCGTCATTGCCTAATTTCGAAGACCCGCCGGCCTCTTCGCCCGTCGTCCTCCTCCTCGCTAACGTCGTATCTCTCAGCAAACTCTCCTCATTGCCGAAGCTGTAAATACATCCACAACCACCATCAATGCAGCCAACACCACAGAGCGGCGTCAAAATCATCAGATTAGCCTGAATTTGTCTCGTCTGAGGGTTCACGTCGAGCCGTTCGAATGGCAGTTTTTGGTGGTGGTAGTAGTAGGGTTCAGTAGTGCAGAACGGGGAATTGCGAAAGACATTAGAAAGGTGAGAAATTTGAATTGAAATGTCTTCGAGGGGGCAATTGCTATCGATTCGATTTCGCCAAGAACAACCATAATTGCCGAAGTGAACCGGATAATAAACGAGTAATTACTGTTCAAGGAGTCGACAGCAGTGAGGCGGACGAGGCGAACGACGAACGAAAAGTGAAATTGATGGCTTGAGGAGAAATCGATTGGATGATGATTGATTGAGTAGAGAGGCCTAAAAAGCCTAAAAACGTAAGAATTATGGGGAAAACGAATGCATTGACGGTTAACGCTTTGAGATACGCCGCGAAAGAGACCTTCTTCCAGGTTTTTCGGGGGTTTGGGATAGTTGGGACAAGGCTTGGAGAGTACATGTTAGCTTCCTCTGCTCAACAGCCTTTGATTGGTCGGGCCTCCATTTCGAGAAATAGCCACCAAAATTTGGCACATCAGGGGCCGTTTCTCGTTATTGTTCAAAAAAATTGCTCCAACTGAATGGAACATCTAGGATTGAAATTTTTCGAAGATTTGAGAACTTTAAGGCTCTGATTGAATGGTCCTTAAGCTTTGATCTGTTGAAATGGTCTAATCAGGGATTCTCATAGCTTACGATTGTATTTGACAACTTTCCTGCACCTACAAAAGTCCCTACGAAAGCACTGGCAAGTCGAGTGCATGGCGCGGCCTAAACCTCGCTCACTACGGAGCTGTAGATCTAGTCCTTCTCTCTTGTGAAAGATCTTGTCAGAAACTCACAGTTAGGAGGTCTTCAACGACTTATTTCACCCGGAGCACCGAAGATCGCCTCGGTAGGCCGAAACTTCGTCGGAATCAGAGAACCCCGAGGGTAGTAAGGATCCGACGTCAGCTGAAACGAATGGCCCTATAGTCCAGCCGTTTTTCTAAGACCTCGATCACTATCGCCTCTCGGGTCCTCATCGCCCTCATCGTCCTCACCATCACGGCACTCGCCCTCGTTTCACTCCCATGAACGCATTGTTGCCGGTGAAGGACGTTACGCACGTAGCGCAACATTTGCGATCAACCCATTTCAATCCCCGTAAATGATACCCACCAATGGCAACATTTACCCCACTAAGGTGCTCTCATCAACAGCCTCTCAACTGCTTATTCTGTTCTGCTTTCGTTGATTCGGCGCGAAGTTTGCGAGCTGGTGCCCGCCTATGCCCTTTCCTTCGGCGGCTATCGCCTCCGCTCATCTGCTAAACATAGCCAATTAGCTTGTGCCTTCCATTACTGATGTTATCTGTGGTCAAATCGCTGCGCCTACTTTCGCTTAACGGCTGTCGCGTCAGCTGCGATGCCATTTGGGCCATTTGGGCTATTCCACCTGTACCTCTTTTACTTCCTAGTAGTACCATTACCTGTTGTTTTTGTGGTTTTTTTGCACTCAAGCTTCGCGATCGGTGTGAGTTGGTGTTGTTGCCGACGACACGCATTGTTCTATAAGAGATGAGGGCTGGATGCGAAGATCGTGAACAATAGGTAAGTCAACAGGACGGCCGCGACAACGATAGGCGCTGCGCAGTTCCCCAGCCGGTCCGCTAACACTGGATGATCTACGAAAACCGTTAGATTCAGTTCCTTAGAGTGAGAAAATAGGTTAACACGGAAAGTACTTTCGCTGATCGCCTGGTCTAAACCATGCTGGGCCACTATCATTTGCGCTACCCACCACAATTCCCCTGGGGAAGCGATGGCAGCCGTGCGGCCATCGTTCTTCTCGCGTCGCCCAATTAGCCTCGCTGCCTGCCAAAATCTTTCACTTTCTGGTGTTTTTCGTGAATTGCCGCGTGGTGCGGACGTGGCTAAGCCAATAACTGTGCGCAGCTGATGAGCCTGTTAGATGCTAATGATTGTTTGGACATTGTCAGCCTGCCGCTGGCGATGCTGCCGATATACTTCCGTCGTCCACACCTCATCTGGTTGTTCATACCGGGAGCGGGTCACGTGTGTCGTGGGTGTACACCCTGTCCAGTCACGAAATCCATAGATGCTCCATTGGCCTTGACTTCGCACACTGGCCGACTATTTGCTTGCACTTGTTGCCGGTACCGAACTGTGCTCGTCGTCATCATCGTCGTCGTGGTGGTTGTGGTCGTCACCATTCTCATTGGGAACCCTCTCCTGTCCTTTCATCTCCATTCCAGCCAGCCCCGTTTCCTGCCGTTCGGCGGCATACAGCGCCTGCAAATTTCAATTTATAGCTGCGCCAGTTGTCTGGGTAATACGCCAGAATTTTTCTCGATGAGCCTTTTCAACCGATGTCACTGGAAATTCTCATCAAACCGTCATTATAACCGGGACGACAGCGGGAGAGAGTCATGACAGGGAACACCTCGATCGCACATCCACCAACAGACGTCGACGTTTCCTTAGCACGAACCCTCCAGGGACCTATCAGGGGGGTTTTCGTGCCGATTTCTTCGCCATTGGCTCTGATTGCAGTGTTGACGTTGGTGATGATGATGACGCTATGGGGGATACGTGCCTTCATCTAACATATGAGACGACAAGGCAAACGAAGTGATTAAGCGCTAGCCGTGATCGTCTCACCGTCCGACGTCTCCTTGGACGTACTGCGCCCCGTCGTCGGCATACCGTAGCGCAGCACAGTGTGTCGCGTGCGACGTCGCAGGCTCATTTCCATGTTTGCTGAATGACAGCGCGCTGGGCAATTCTCATAACAATTAGATAATGCTTGGGAATCGGTGCGACGTTGGCGGCGGCTGCGGCAACGACGCACGGTCCGTTTAGCCCGGTGTTTCGCAACTAATTCATTACGACCTACTGTAGTGGCTCGCTTAAGAACTCCTCCAAGCCTCTCCTTTCTTGAATCGAATTATCGATCGATTTCGAAATCAACACCCTGTTTTTGGAGTGCTTAGTTCTAGGGGACTTTTATGGCCGACAGGCAAGGCGCTGACGAACGCCGCTGCGCTCGGTTAGCGCTCCCGAGCATCGCTCAGTCGTCCAATCAGGTCCCAATGTTTTTCATAAATATTCACACCACCGCTGATTAATTCATTAGTGATTACGGTAGCGAGGCTGCGGCGCTTGTTCTGTCATCAATGGTGGTGGCGCTGCAGAACTAGCCTACACATACACAACTTTCACTTCCTCCTTCTGCTTCTGTTTCTGTGACCTTATCTTATAATACTTATTGCTAACTAGGTAATGAGCTCCTCTATGGTATTGATTTCTTCAATTTTTTCCCGTGTAGCAATTTTCGGTCAGCTGGGAAGACTATCTATTTTCGATTGCTCACAAAGAACATTCTCCTCGCCGATCATTACCTATACCTGTCATTTACCATTCTTGGTACTCATCAGTGACGTCAGAGATTTTAAAATTCATATTTTTTTATTAGCCGACCATTCAGATTTCAATGCGACGACGATGAGCGACGATGCTGCGTACGCCTGTGCCAGCTGTGGTTTCACTACGAGTAAGTTCTTCGAGTTCCCATTTTTCCTTCACACTTATTTATCTTTCGTGAGATTTTCTGCGGTACTTCCTGATATTATTTTGATAATTTCTGTTAAGTTATCAAAATTATCATTCTGCTTCTTTGTTTCCTGGAACATGGTGACGGTTTTTTTGGATCAAATTTGTTACTGTAAGTGCTAATGATAAGTAACCTGGAACCTTGTCTGATTGCATGGATTTTTGAAGGAATCATCACAATCTATTCAGCCTATTTACCCCACTAAGATTCCCCGATAGCGCTCTGACAAGCCTTAAGAAAAGCTTAGGGGGTCAGTCAGGCTTCAACATGATGATTCGATGCTCGCAGTATGTACTCAGAGACGGGAAACTGCAGGACTAGCTGCAGCGGTTGATCAGGCTTGTTTTAGCCCTGGGATCAGTTGCTTGTTCTAGTTCTCCATGTTCTCGTATTTCGCACTGGCTACGCCGGCTAGAAGTGAACATAAAACTCGAAATCGGCTGCCTGGGATTTTCGAACTCCCAGAAAACCTTCTGTGCTGCCACTGACAGCCCGAAGCTTTAGATTGTCCATAGGTCAGGACTGACCATAATCCCTCTGTATTACCAGTTTCCTCCCATCTATTGCCTTGTTGGTGCTATTCGTAAAAATTGTGCTGATTCGCTTCGCTGTGGTTTTGTGTCAGCGATAGCGCGAGGTAAATTCCGGTTCTGACCTCACAGTCAACTGCCTCCATGTCGTGGTCGTCGCCCTTGCCTGCCCTTCTCGCGGTCGTGGTGGTCGCTTCCAACAAGCCAACCAGCCGGCTGGTAATTTTCCCGGTGTATGCCAGTGACACTACAGCGCTGCCTCGCGACTCAGCACCACCGTTGCCTAATTGCGCTCGTGTGCGGCGTTGATTTACGCCGGCGCTACGGTGCAATCTAGCACCACTTTAGGTAACGTGTGTTATGTTAGTTAACTCGTGCCGAGGTTCAGCGGGACTTTGGAGTGACGGGAGGGCGGGCAGACGAGGAAGGGCACGAAGGGCGGAAGGCTCAAAAATGGTGCCGTCATATGGTCTCCAGGTTTCGCTGGCAACGATTAGTAGCCAATTTCAAATGGTTGTTATTTGCGAACTCCGCTCACATAAAGCCATTATCCCAGGTATCTTACCCACGAGTTTATGGGCATCATCCGGGGGATCTCGAGGATGAACTTAATCTACATATTCTCCACATTGGGAAACTTCGGAGCTTTAAAAAAGCTGACCCAGGCTCAATGCCCGGACCTGATGCTAAACCCTCCATTGGTCTCATCTTCCTCCGTGAGCTGTCCCACGTTCTCCAGTGTTCCCTTGAAACTCGCGAACAACGAAAACTGGGAAGTTTGAAGTGTA